TGGGGATGGTGCAGGCAGCAGGGCCTGGCAGCTGCCTGACTCAACCACCTGGCTCTGCCGAGCGGGAGGAGGGCGGTAGGATGACTCAGGAGATGCTGTTTGCGTGGGGGCAGGCGGGAAGCGGTGAGTAGGCAAAGCCAGGCAGGAGCTGCAAGCCCGGGTGAGACGCAGCCGGAAAGACCCAAAGATGAGACATTATTTGTAGTGGGGGGGTCCTCCCCGTCCTCCATCCCACGGGAGATCAGCCCTCCCTTCCCTTTGCCCTCGCTGCAAAGCCCTTTGGTGGAGAAAACTTTGCAGGTAAGGACGGGTCACCTTGACTTTTGCAAGGTGACAGCGGCCAGGCATGGCTTCTGTCCGCAGCGGGGCAGCCCCGATTCCCCGTGTCTGCTGTCCCTGTGAGCCGGCTGCCTCCAAAGCTTTGGGAAATGAGCTTTCCTGCCTGAGCCGGGGCTCTTTGCGCTCAGACCCCTGGCCCTCTGGTCCTGGAGAGGCTCTGATGGCTGCGTGCCACCAGGCTTCCCTCTCCTGCCAGGGTCTGCAAACCCCAGCACCATCCCTGGTCCCAGCGTGGGTCTGCAGAGCCAGGTGGCCCCGACGCCTGTCTGCTCCTGCTCCACAGTCACCTGGGCAGAGCCTCCCTGTTTTCCTGTTGGAGCATCCTCAGGGTTGGGGTGCTTCTCCTTTGGAGCTGGGTGTTTCAAGGGAGTAGACGCACAAAGCTACAAGGGCTTCAACCACCAGCACCACAAAACCAGCAGGTACCGGCCCCTCCTGCACTTCCCAACTGGAACTGGGTCCCTGGGAAACACCAGCAACCTCTGCCCACCACCGCTGGCCTTCAATGCATGCCATCATCTCCCTCCTTCCCTGGTCCTCCTGCCCATGACACCAGCCTGATCCCATCGCTCATCCATCCCAACTCCCTGCTCCTTGGTTTGATGCCACGGGGAGGACAAGTCTCGACCCAAATCCCAACCCCAAAGAGGGTGGGCTGCCCATCGACATCTCCCCAGCCTTGTCCTGCATATCCGCTCATCGTTTTCCTCTTAAAGCCAGGATGAGGCCGGCTCGGAGCACCGTGGCAATCTCAGGCCAAGCTTGACCCTCAGATCCATCAGCGCCGGACCGGTGGCTTCGGCTGCTTTGCCCCAGGGCTCAGTTTGGCTCCTCCGGTTCCTGCGTGTTGCCGCACGCAGTCACACAGGGATCTGGGAATAATGATTGTGGGGTGCCTGGGATTGTGGGCTTGCAGCTGGGAAGCAGCTCAACCCATTTTTCTCCCCAGCGGTTTTCCCCACAGCCCTGTAGGGACTCCGGGATTAACGATGCTGCCGTATGGATCACGGGAAGGGTCGTGTTGCTTCCAGGGAGCGTTGGACCAGGCTAACAGCACCTTCAGCAAAATCTGATCCCTAAGTATTGATTACACTGAATGAGCATGGAAAAACCCCAACGCTCGACCCTGACGCCTTTGCTCAGGCAGAGTTGCCCGCAGGAGCGGGATTGCCTGGCTGAGCAGGACTTTAGGATCTACCCTTGGCAGAACAGCCCGGGGCAAATCCTGCCCCGTGCCCGCGGCGCACCTCACCTTCTGAGCCTGGCAGATCATCTTCCGCACCACCTCCTTGATGTGCGCTTGCCCCTCGATGGGAGGCTTGGCGCGGGTGACCCCGCGGTAGGCGATGGTCTCGGGCCAGCCGAGGTCCAGCTGGGGGATGGAACGGTCGGACCTCTGGGGCCAGTACTCCAGGGAGGGGGCCACATCCTGCTCGTCCCCTTGGCTGTTGTGGTCACCTTCGCTCTCCCCTGCACTGCTGCCATGGCGTGGGATGTACTCAGAGCCAGGGTCGTACGTCTCCAATGTGTCCAGGATCTTCTTCAGCTCCAGCTCGGAGAGGAAGTCCCTGATGTTCTCCTTCTTCAGGACCTCGTAGAAGGCATCAGGACCACGGGAGGCCAGTGCCTCCAGGGCCAGGCGTTGCTCCTCGCTGTAGAAGAACTCGGGCTTGGACTCGCTGGACCTCCAGTTGACGTGGCTGTCGTCCAGGCACTGCACCTGGGAGAAAGCCATGGTGACCACGCACGCTGGTGCTCTCTCCGAAGGGAGCTCTGTAAGCCCAGCAAGCGCTGGATGCCGACAATAAATAAGGAATTAATTATTCTCCTGTCTTTAAATACACAATTTGCTTTGCTTTGCTCTCCCTGGCTCAACGCGCAGCTGGAGAAACGCGCCGCTCCCTTCACCGCCGGCTCCTGCCAGGCTGGAGCTCTTCTCCGCCGGGGAGGAGGATTCTGTTTCTTGTTTGCTCCCAGCTCCGGGCAAGGAAAACCTGGAGCTTCCCACGGTTGGGGGGGCAGAGACAGCCCCGGGCGCACGTGCACCGCGGGGAAGATCCTCTACCTTCAGATCCACACTCTTCCCATCCTCCGTTTTTCCAAGACAACGATAATACCGGATAAAATAAAAAGTCGAAACCAAAAGAACAAAAATAAAGGGCAGAGAAAAGCAGGATTTCTCAGCCCGAATGCCGTCTGTGGTTATCGTTCCTGGAGAACTGGGTCAGCCGGTGGGTTTCCCCCCGGCCAGCCTCTCGTGCATCGCCCTGGCTGGCGGGTCAAATAATTTCGGGCTCCTGCCCAGCGCGCAGTGCCGGGGCCGGGACCGGACAGGTAACAGCAAGAAGTGAAAAGAGGAAAAGCAAAAGAGTGATTCATGGCTCCGCCCTGCCCCACCTGCAATCACATGCGCCCGCTCGCAGCCTGGCCCTGCCGCCTTAACTCTTTCGGCTGATGCCAGCCTCCCGCCTCTGCCCCGCCACCGAGCGGCTGGGGAGGGCGGGGGGGGTTTGTCTTCAAAAACACAAGCAACTCTCCCCTGAAATCTCCCCCTCTTCTGATGTACCAGCTGGTAAGTCAATATATTCCAGGTAAGCAGCTCAGTCTCATGGTTAACCCCTCCTGTGCCAAGCAAGGACCCTCATGCTGGTGCCGGAGCTCAGAGCACAGTGGGGGTCCTGAGGGGCAGCACTGGGTTGGAGCTACTATAATGGTTGAAAGCTTTGCTGGGATGGGGGTTTGGACTGGACATTAGGAAGCATTTCTTTATCAAGAGGGTGGTCAAACCCTGGAACAGGCTTCCTAGAGAGGTGGGCGATGCCTTGAGCCTGTCAGTGTTTAAGAGGCATTTAGACAAAGCCCTTAACAACGTGATTTAACTTTTGGTCAGCCCTGAAGTGGTCAGGCAATGGGACTAGATGATCCTTGTGGGTCCCTTCTGAACTCTTCTCTTCTCTTCTCTTCTCTTCTCTTCTCTTCTCTTCTCTTCTCTTCTCTTCTCTTCTCTTCTCTTCTCTTCTCTTCTCTTCTCCTCTCTTCTCCTCTCTTCTCTTCTCTCCTTTGCTTTGGCATAAGGTTTGCAGCACGGACACGGTCACAGCGCTAGACCTTGCTATGGCAGACTGCGTTAATAACTGGGAGATGGGTGAAAAAACCACCCTGGCTTCATCACTTGGTGCTCACAAGGCAGAAACGTGGAGCTTTTTGCTTGGAAACTCAGATGAAGATGAATTTCAAGAAGCGGGGTCAGATTCTTGCACCGATGCAAAGAAGGGAAGTGCCAGGGGCTGCGTCTCGCTCTCTCGCGTTGGTGCAGCTCATCTGGATTTGCAGCCACGTAAACGAGAACCTCGCTTGAGTCAGGCTCCCGAGGCGAAGCCACCCGTCTGCCCGGGTGCTCGGCCATCAAAGTGCTCCTCTCTGCAGACATGGTGGCCACGCAGCGTCCCGGCTGTCCCGTCCCCAGCCGGGGCACACGGTGTGGCCAAGTGCCGAGCCTGGGGAGGATTTGAAAGGGAAGATGAGTCAGAAACATGCAGAAAGGGGAGAAACTCCAGCGGGGCTTTCTCGAAGCTCAGCTGTGGCTGTGGCAGGCTGAGCTGGCACCCGCTCAGCTTCGAGTTACTGTCACGGGCTGCTTAGGGGAACCGGTGGCTTTTCTCCTCTTGTGTTGGGGTAAAAGGGTTTAGGTGAGTATGTGGTAAAGGCTGGAGAAGCCAACCCTTCTGCCCTTCCCCCGGCGTGAAATGGTGTGCTGGATTGTGCCCAGCCCTGGTCTGTCGTGTGCAGGAGGTGGCAGTGGGGCCGGGGGACACCGGGATGTGGGGATGCGACAGCCATGTGTTGGGATCAGAACACTTGGAGGAACAAAGCGTTCGGCTCCCACCGAATATCGGCTCAGGAGGTGTTTCAGGTGGAGCTGAAGACTTTACGGAAAGTCTGCACCCACCCCGCAGGGGTTTCCCTGTGGTGGGATGTCACCTCCACGCCACGGTGCAGCAGAAACCAAGGGCGCTGGAGGCTAAACGAGATATTTTAGGTGAAATCCCAGACACGGTGGTCCCTTTGCTGATGGAGTTGCACCTGGAATATCAAATGTGACAGAGCTGAGCACCCAACCAGCACCCGCAGGTGAGCTCCGGGACCTCATCCCCAGCCATTGTCCCGCCTTTGGTGGCCCAACCCCGGTAGATGGGGAGATGGTGCAGATCGTGGCCAGTGCATCGAGCGTGGGTGTGCACGGCATGGCTGGAGCGTGCTGCGGTTGGACCCACCTCAGCTGCCCTGGTTCTGTTTTTATTGTGCAAGGAGATTTACGGTCTCTTTAGCCGGGTGTGCGCACTTATGATTTATTACATGGTGGCATAAATGTGGCATCCCATCCGTTGTGCGATGTGCTGGCGGGAGCAAGGATTGGGACCATGGAGCTCCATGCCTGGAGCATCATCTGACTCCTGCATGGTGCAAAGACGCTTGGGTCTCCCGTCCCCAGACCCAAGCGTCTTCGCCCCATGCCCAGCGCTGGCGCAGAGAAAGAATGGCAGATCCTTTGTAATCTCCTCCCTGTTTGCAGGGACAGGTCAC